ACAATAATAATAATGATATTAATAATAATAATAATAATAAATAATAATAAATAATAATAATAATAAATAATAATAAATAATAATTATTTTAAATGTTTTAAATATTGTCGTCTTAGTAAAACATGTAATATTAAATTTATTTTCCAAAAAGTTGACAGAAACAAAAGGATTTTATAAATTAATTGTAATTAATTAACGTTTTTTTATTTTTTTAAATTATTTGTTATATTTTTATTTTGTTATTTTTAAACGATTAAATTTAACTAATTTGCGGTTAAAAAAAAAACAAGAATGAAATTTCAACCATCTATTACTAACTACCAACTACTCCCCTTTATTTTATTACGTGTTGTGATCCTTCAGATTTTCTATCATATAGACCCACAAATGGTTTGTAACATAATATTCTTAGAAAACAATAATATAGTAACTATCCGTCCAGAATTATGCATTACGTTTTCGGTTATTATCTTGATAACACGTAAAAATTTCCTCTCATCTTTAACAAATAAATAAAATATTTACCATATTAATTTAATAGCGGGCGAATTGGTTAGTTACTATAACTGTAATTTATTATAAATAATAATATTACTATTTAAATGACCAATTAGCCCGCAAATAAATTACTATAAAATATTTTTGTCACCAATAAAAGAATAAATTATTTACCTTATGTAGGTTTATGTATGTATATGTAGGTTTTGAAATTCTCTAACAGATGCAACATCCAATACTAAGTCTGAACTTAATTAGATAGGAGATTGTTAAAATCATTCCTTGTAAAAATGAGTAGTAGGGATAGGACTTTTCATAACCAGATCGATCGTTGTATTTAAAACACTAACATTCGGATAGATCTATTCAATAGTATCTCTATCTAAGCATATTAAAAAATGTAATACCTAGATGTCGATTTCTAGCTGTGGCAAACTAAATACACTAGTGACACTAATAACTGTTAAGAAGTCTCTACAGTAGCTATGATCGTGAAGTCCACAGCAGATGTATGTTACGGTATGTAAGAAAGGCATTTATAATATAATAGTGAATAAAGCTGATGATATTAAGAGCAAAACTCTATAAAAGTATACTGTTTGACTTTACCATATATATAGGTACATAAGAATTATAAAACCTTCTAACTGTCGGAAAAGATTTATATAATTTCACTAAAGACATAAGACGAACTTAAATTGTTAAGCTAAAGAATGTTTAACAGTTAAAAAAAAAGAATTATAAAACAAAGTGTGTTCATTGTAATAAGATGCACTAGCACTTAATCGCATTAAGCTTTGTTAATAAAGATAAAGTGCTATACAATGGCAAGATAGATAGTAGCTTTGGAATTAGTCATGATAGTAATAACTAATAGCAAATGTTAAGCTGTAGACTTAACGTAGAAACTATTCTGAGATTAGATCCCGACTGTAATTAGCAAACTAGAAATGGATAACGACTAATTTTTCTTAGCCTCCCATTTGTAACCTGTATTGTGGAACGATTATGGGTTCAAATTATAGTTACTGTTAACCCACTAGCTAGATCTTCATTGTAGAAATGTTTTCTAAGAATATATCTAATAGTTTTATTGAATGCAAATTTTGAAGAACTAATATCGGCTTTATCCAGTCTGGGGTTTTTTTTTCATATGATAATATTAAAACGGTTATAGATTTATTAAATTTAAAACTTGTAAATGATTTTATTGATAACTTACATTGATTTATGAACCATTAATTATAATTAATTAATTACTTACAATTTCTCTGTGTTATATTGAGTTATACTGATATGATGGTGCCTATTTCGCTTATGAAAAACTTATAAAATGTGACTTTTTGGGAAGTTCCTTGATTATTCAATGTATATTAAACTCTACTCATTGGGAAATCAACAATAGATTTATAGCTGTTTACCAAATCTACAAAGTGATCTATTATAACTTTGACAACAAATTTATTGGTTTTTCATTTTTGTTCTTTTTTAATGAATTATGTACTAATATTATTAAAACTTTGTATATTTTGAAAAATTATACAATGAATTAAATACATAAATAACTATTATGAAGTAAATAATTATTACAAGCCTAGACAGCTTCTATTTGTTATTTCAATACAAACTACTCCATTATTTCTATGAGATACTGTATATTTCAATGTGCTTTTATATATTTTTTAATTTTAAAAAAAAGTATTTTATTATCTATTATTTTTTGTTAGTATCTCTTTGTTACATTTTTAAATATATTATTATATACTTTTTAATATTCTTTTTTATATTTACTGGTAGAAATTGTTTTAATTTATATTTAATTGTTTTTATGTTTATGTGTTTGTATTTTGTTTTTAGAAAAGAACTTCGATATGTATTTTGCAAGATTTTTAAAACATTCTTATTATTCGAAATACTATCCATTGTTTCAATCAAAGTCTGTCATTTTTTGTGTAGAATTATTGTTTCTTTTTTTATTCTTATAAGTCTGTTTTAAGATCAATTTAACGGCAATAAGTGAGTGCTGATGACATCATCAGCACTCATTCCAGGACTATGCTGAGGATGTCTCAACTAAGTTCTCTCCATTTTTGTCGTGTTACCAAAGAAGAGTTGCACTAATATTCTCTTGTCCAATTCTGGTTTTCATTTTCTAATTGAATGTTACAGCTGCATTTATTTATCGTATAACATATATATTTTTTAATAGACCCCCAAATTCTTATGATTGCACCTTTTACGTTATCAATCCCGGTCATGAAGCTTTGACTTTTTTTATTTAAAACCATTTAAAATCAAATTCATATAACATTAATAAATCTTATTTCATTCACTTTCATAACTTGTCATCATACGTTTCCATTTTCAAATCGAAGTTCGGTTTATTAAATTTTTTTGCTCTTTTTACAATTAATTTAAAACTGTTTTGTGGTTAAACTTTTGATCCTTAGCGATACTATTGATATGTCAAAGACCTGTTCATTTCTTATCTATGATATTATCGTTTTTTCAGTAATAGTTCGTCTGTTTTCGACGCCCATTTCATGTCTTGATTTCTCGAACAAGCTTTGCCTTCACCATCTACAGGCCCAATTGTTTCTTTACTCTCTGTCACCTTTGTTATTTCAGCATAGTAATATTGTAAAATATACCGAATTATTTCAAATTTGCACAGAGCATTAATCAAATCGTTTTAAAGTCTCTGCATTTCAAATACATTGAATATAAGTAACTTGCATCTATTCAAAAAGGCGCCTGGAGAGAAGTGCTGCGTCATGTCAAAACCCGATGACGGGCTTTTATGACCGTCATTTGTGTGACAATATAGTGAGAAGTGTCAATATAGACAATTACAGAGTATATCATAATCGGCTTCAGTAGTGAATATGTTCAAAATAATTTTTTTATTGTAGTTCCAAACTCGTTAGGCCCACGTTATGTAGAGTGTCACGGATGTGTCGAAATCAAAATTATTGTTGCTTTCAATGTATATTAAAAACTGAGAGTGAGAGAAAAGCAAAGTATCGGTTTAAATTTAGTCATGAGAGCAGATGCTATCCCCTTCAAAGCTGTGTTGTATGTACATATGTATGTATGCACGTACAGTAATCATCCTTATAACGCGGTACCGTTATAACACGTTTTTATATTACGCGATTTTAATTCCCTATATAACACCGGCCTTCCCCCATATAACGCGGGGATTTGTACAGCTCATAATTGGCTTCGCGTACCTTTGCACGTGTGTATTCTGCATTTCCTATAATGCCGAACCAATCTACTGCGTTATAGGGGGTATTCTGTATATATTTTCTTCAAAATTTAGGCATAACAAAAAATTACAAAGTAATAGTAAAAATACTAAATTGACACTTTACATAACATGCATTTTCGTTGTAGCCCGAAAGAGCCAATTTTGATGTGCCCGTGACACTCTACTCTGTCTTTTCTTTATTGATAGTTTTTATGCTGATGTTGCTTATTGGTACTTCGATATATATCAATATACTTCTTTTTAGGATTTTATCTGCTATAAATAATATAGATGTGGATTGTAGTATATTATTATAATTTTTATTTTTGTTAAAGGAGTGCTAGTTCGCAGGCAGATTCGTTACTCAACAGTATGGAATTTTGGCAAAACTGTACAGTGTTTCTGTTGAACCCCTACACATCACCCTCGCACTTTTATTGCTCATAACTCTGTAATTAAATCTGTCTGTCAACTTTTCATATTCAGTTTCATATTCATCCAGTTTCAACTGTCTTAAGTCTTATTTCACAAATAAACACGCACTGCACAAGAATGAATTCAACTCAGCAATTTTCAATTATTTTCAAGATATTATCTGTTTAAGATGCTTAAAGCGGCTGCATTGTTTTAACGCATAGCTCCATTATGAGAGCAAATATAATCCCAACGGAAGTGCAATATTAAAATTTACATCATCGCTGTCATACACAGATAATTAATTACCAAAATGAAAAAAAAAATCTCAATAGAAATTATGAAGGCAAACTTTTTGCAAAATTTAACACAATAAGCAAGGCAATATAAAGAGCATAAATGACGTAAATTCGTTGGGATACTTAGTTCCATTGCACTTTGATGCCCACACTGTGGAACTGCAAGTTCTTCAACTGCAAGTTCAGTATTTTTAGTTTCACTGCACTTACGTATCGTCACTTGGTCTGGTCGTCTACTAGTCAAGCATTTAGTGTATAATTAGCAAAGCGAACGCGAACGTGAACGCGTTCAGTGACGACTTGCAGCTGCTACTGCCAATTTGTCTAGCACTTCGCCGCCAAATTGCCAACTTGCCAAAATGCAATTCATTTACAATAAAATTTTGTTAATTTCTGTAAATAACAAACGCGAAAACAAATAAAATTTCAGCTATAAAAACATCTCAACCACTCACTTTAAGCGTTTTAATTCGAAAACAAGTGCGGCGCTATTTTTATACACATGTGCTACTTTGTGTTGTGTCTTCAATTAATTACACACAAGCCGTAAGTCAAATGGTTCAATTAAATTTTTGCTGTTTATTTTGGTTTTAAGTTAAAGAGCAGAGCAAACCCGCAGCTATTTGCGGTTTAAGTTAATTTATGCACACAAATCCGAATAAAATAAACAAATTTTCACAAAACAATAAAAATAAACTCACATAAAATTCATAAAAATTTAAACTCAAAATTACAAAAAAAAAAAAATTTAATTTAAGGAAACATATAGAGAAGAATGTAAACAATAAGAAAACATTGTTTTTAATGTTTTTTTTTTTATAAAAATTTCGAATGAAATTTCAATTTGTTTTGGCGAGGGTAGATCCAGAAGTGTCTGCAGCAAAATCATTAAAATTCGGTAGTCCGATTCCTATACAATGTTTTTTTATTACAGATTAAATTTTGCTAAACTAAATGAAAAATGTTAGAAAACAATCTAGTTTTTCAAAGTAAAAATATTAACAATTTAATGGGGAACTTCGATGCTGAGTTGCGTGGTTCATATATACCTGTGTGTCTACAGAATTTTTATTTTTCTAAGAAAATATTTAATAACTTTTTTAAGCACTTTGGCATTCTAGTTTTTTTGAGTTCTGATCATGATATCATATGATTTCAAACGGTTTTGCATCTACTGATCTAGCGATAGATAGACCTTTATGCAGTTGACATAAATTGTGGATCATTTTCATGATGTTTAGAAACGATGGACAATTAAACTTTTCGTTAGGAGAGTGGAGTTTTGATCAAGATTGTGATTAGTTACACCCAATACTTGCTAACCTACTGATTGAATTGATTAATTAATACTGCATTCACACGAGAGTTTCGTTTGTAATTTTAACTGTCAATTGTTGTTGCTTTCAATGCAAAATGACAGCTAAATTACAAACAAAACTCCCGTGTGAATCCAGTATTAATTAATCAATTCAATCAATAGGTTAGCAAGTATTATGTGTAACTAATCAGAATCTTGATCAAAACTCCACTTCTCTACCGAAAACTTTAATTGTCCATGGTTTCTGAATACCTTCCCAAACAAAATAATAATGGAGAGTAACCATTATTAGTCACAGCTGTCACAAATTGTCACAAATGGTAATGTTTGACTCTTTTTGTGATCATTCGAATATCAAAATTCCGTATCACCTGTCTTTCTTTACGAATTGATAAATTAGAGAATGATTTCTTCATCAAAGATGGCAAATCGGGGTATCTGGTTAATGTTAATCTTGGTCTATTAAGAACTTTAAACGCTGCACTTTTTGATTATTGACTACGTAGTTGTCTATATATTTTCAACTGTTTAGCTGTTTTTCTAACTTTTAGGCGTCGATTTTAACTAAATCAATGTTTAGTCAAAAAATGTCTTCTATGGACATCAACATGCTTAATTCGTGATAGACTATACTAATAACGACATACCTAAAGCATTATTTTAGTTCTTAGTTTTTAGTTTATTGTTCCTGAATATATTGGAATAAGAAAAACTAATGGACTGGGTTGAGTGAGTATATGCAGTTTATCCTAATTGTCACATAAATGCTGTTCTGCAAAATCCATAAATATTTAAGACAGAATTTTCTATTTTCTATAGTTGCCGCAAAATGCATAGAAACATACAATCTATCACATATTTTCTATCTATAACTTTTTACAAGTAATACAGATACTATTTCTATATTTCTATTGCTTTCTATTATTATCTCATTATCCAATGTGATTAATGCATGTTTGCGTGAACAAGAAATATTAAAAATATTGTTACTTTTTATAATCTATCGACCTGCTATTAGAAATTCTATAGTCTCGATGTTCTATATTTATAATAGACTTGAATGGATTTAAAAACAACAAAAGTAACCAAATATAAGTTTAAAGTATATTTATATGGATAATTTTCGTCAAGGGAATTTGTATTTTCCAGAAAATTAATTGAAAAAAATGGATATACCAGAATCGAATACCAATAATATGTCGCCAACCGATGAGGCATTGTCATTAAATACAATTGCAACAATAATGCGAGCTTGTAATGATATACAAGTTACAGACGAGGCGTTATTTTTGACTGCAGAAGCTACAAAAAAGTTCATAGAGTACATCACTAAGGAGTCATTTGGAAAGGCTGATAAAAATAATGAACTTAAATATGAGCATTTAGCTGAAGTAGTAGAGAGCAATCAATCCATTAAATTTCTGCAAGAAATAGTACCAAAAAAAGTTAAATTTAACGAACTGCAAGAATATCTAAAGGATAATGCTAAAAAAAATTAATAAGAGCGACTAAATAATAAAATTGTTTTCAGATTCTTATGACGACTTGATAATGCTTTTGTCTTTATTACGCATATATTATCTCATATGCGTGTACTTAAATTGTGGAGGGAAGAACGAATCCTCTTCAATTAGGTAAGAAAACCGTTTTGAATGCACAATTCCTCGTAATTGTGGAAAGAAGAAGATCGAACTAGAACCAGCCACAATCATTTATAAAGGCGGTAGTTTGGCCAAAGCTAATACTGGAGATATCGTTGAATTAGGAATTAGGAATTATTGTTGAAGGTGCCACCATTGAGCAGTGTACTGAAAATATCCCAGTTTGTCAGTTTACTTACTAACTTGATGGTTTAAAAATTATTTTTTTTTTGTTCGATCATTTTTGCAAATACTTCATTTATCTCTACATTGCTGAAAACTTGTTTTCTTTGGAAATATTTTAAACTATCCATCATTTTCCTGTAATCGTCCCTACGAAGAGAGATATCAACTACTGATTTTGACAAAAATATGCAAATATTTTGATTACCCATTTGGTTTTGAATTCTCTGGATGGTTCCTAAGAAGTATGAAGAAGTGTATACATTATATATACATATAAGTAAAACATTTTTTATTTATCTCTAAATCAGGTTCTCTGGTCCATAATTTATATTACGGTTAAGTGACTTTTTGTGACTTTAAATATCAATAAAAGATATATACGAAGCTAAATTCAAAAGAAAATATTATTTAATTAAATGTTAACACTTATATTAATAATTTTATACTTTGTGCTTACAACAAAGTTGATCTTACTACTTAATAGTATAATAAACCATTGGCTCTATTTTCTTACTATTATATGCTGATAAAAACAATCTGTGTGTAACATATCTAGGCAATTATCTTATAGTCTTCAATCAATTTGATAGCAGACATTGGTAAGTAACTGAGTAACTGAGAATGTTAAATATATTTCAGATACATTTTTTAAAACATGTAAAATTGATTAACTCCGTTCTTCAAACTTCAATAAAATATTCTTAGAAATATGTCAATAATTCTTATTTTACTTATTTATTTAAAATTTGTATCAAAAATTCTATTAAAAACTATTATATCAGTTACTTATCCATTGCTAACCAAAAACCTATTCAACTATTTATTGACTAAAATAAACAATAGCCCCGCAAATAGCATTACATTTAATTTTCTACACTGTGCCCTCTCTGATGTCTTTTCCAAATATTCCTGACTCATCTTAAGCAATTGTACAACCTTTTGCTTTGCATGCAACTTTTTAATTTGTTTCAATTGTTCGGCTTTAGTTCAATTCAAAGCAGACAATTCACACAATTTACATGGACAAACTTCTCGGGGCCCCACTACCACGCCTCTAAATTGAATTATTAGCTTTTCTATTTGCTTTGTTAGCTCGTAGACTATTATTGAACAAAGTTGTTAGTGTAGGAAAAAGTGATAGTTTTCACATTTTTTTTTTTTTGTTTTTTACTTTCAAGAAAAGTGCAAATTAATTTTTTCGTTTCCTCGTCTCTCAGTTTTCATTTCCTTTATGTTTATTACTTTTTGTAACAATTTCAATGACGTACCTATATGCGTGTGAAATTGTGTCTGTTACATTACCTTTCTTCATTTGCGGTCTGACTTTTATAGGTCAGCAGTTTTTCCTTGTCGCTCTCTCATGGGCTCCATCGCAGCAAACTGAGTTGAAAATTAATACTTTTTCGCAATATTTTTTAACTCTTGGGTAATTGCGGAAAAATTGCTTAAACAGTTGGAAAAAAGAATAAGTTTACAATATTAAATTTATTAATTTGATACAAGTTGCAACAGTTTTACCAGATGAAGCCACGAATTTTTATAGCTAGAGTTTTTTATTATGTAAAATCAAAAGTTAGTCAAAAAGTATTTGTATGAAAATTGATGAAAAAAAATGAAATAATAAATATTTCGAGTTAAAGAGATATTTACTGAATTCAACCTTTGGTACTTACAGTCTCAGTCTCATTGAATTACAAATAATTCAATATAAGAAATAATTCCAAGACCACTGATAATGAGTATTAATTGGATAATGGGCTATACGGGAAACAGCTGTATGGTCAGGCAAAAATTCATTTGTTTAAAAAAATTATAAAAATAAAATTTTTTGTTGTTGCAATATCACTACAACTATAAAAACCTCTCTACTGTAAATAATATTTTTTATATATAAAATTTAGTTTCTTTCGTCAAAACGGACGTTAAAAATCAATATAATAAATAACTTTAATAATAAAGCTTTTATTTATAGTTCAGAGAAAGTTGTTAATGTATAATTTTTATGGTCCTAAATTAATTTCAAAATTATTTAGCTAATAATTAGTAACTTATTGTAATTAAATTAAAAAAATTATATAATAAATATATTTAAATTTTTATATAAATACCCCAGGAAATATATTTCTGATTGGGACATGCTATTTTCAATTCGTTGATATTCTATAATAATATCTATAATAACATATTATAGCTATAAGTGTCCAATTAACTCAGTTTCTACTTTAACTTTTATAGACATGCAAAATTATTTCTTAGATTTCTTGTAAAGATACTTAATAAATACTTTTTAAAAAAAGGTTTACATATTATATATAAAATAATATAATAGATATTTAGATTTGATAGTACTTAGAATCTGTTTCCTTTTCCAAAATTTTAAAAACTAATAAAATTTTTACTATTACTTCGAATAAAATTCTTCTCAATTGTTTTAATAAGTCTTTATAATAACTGTATTAATGACATATGATTTAACTTTATGAAATCGTTATAGTTCATTATTCTTTTTAATTTGTAATATTGATAATAACGTAAAGAAAGTAACATCGGGGACTCTCTCTATAATGTGCTTATAAACTTGAAAACCTCCACGAGATGTATCGATCAGGCTATGATTATTAGTCTATCTATCTATCTGTCGGTCTGTTTATGTACTAATTAGCCTTTCGTTTTCAAACCATAAAATAAAATTTGATAAATAGAGTTATTAAGAATGGGCGTTAAACGCATGTCAAAACTACCAAAATGGAATGATTTGGAGTTACCTTGTAAGCCTTAGAACTGATTATTCTTTATTATGGGCCATGTTATACAGACAGTCATGATGATATCAAATGTGAAATTGTTGTTGTTTTCAATGTTAATGAAAAAATTAGTAAACGAAAATCGTTTAAAATTTGGTTATGATGACGAAACTTTCTAAAATTTTTGAAAATTCATGACGTCGGTCGACCAGTGTTGTTGTTTTGTAATAAATGTTAGAATTACATTTTCAGAATCATGTTTATATATGATGCCGAAAAATTACAGAATCAATCGATCAAAAAATTGTTAAATCTTAATCTTTTTTGGATGCAGGTTTTAAATGAAGTGGGAAATAATTGCGGTATAAATGGGAATCAACAAACAGCATCGGAAAGACTTTGGAAGGCAAATAATGTACTGATGTTGACATTGCTGAAAACTGATTTGAGAGACAAATATATAAGAACATGTCAACAACCTAACCGAATTTATAAAGACTTAACAACAGCATTAGGAAAGGAAATATAGCTGACGTAAGATATATTACAAATATCACCTGGATACTTAAGGCAAGAAGTAGCACGATACAGCTAAACGGAAACAGATTTGATGTATATAGATCTGCGCTCTGTAGTATATGTAATTTAGATGAGACTAAATATATTGTACATTTTCTTGACCGTTGTCCTATTCTACAAGAATTTCGATTAGCTTACTTTAGTAAAGCAATTCTATCTTATGAAAACATTATAAATATTTTAAACGGTTCTGAGGTAGAATGGGCAAAAGTAGGCCAAAAAAACTGTATAGTACACCGGTCTTATTTAATATCAGAATATAATAATTAATATAAATTATAGCTCATCTATTATTTATAACGTGTACATACTAGTTTATTCTTATGCTTACTATTATACAACTATTTATAATACTATTATTATACTAAAAGTCGGCGGACGTCGCTATTTTAATTATATTTATTTATATATTACTTTAGGATTCACTAATCATACTGTAAAAATGAAATTTAAAATGAAAATAAAAATACATACATACATACATAAATGTTAGAATTTAGAAATAATTAAATATATACAATAAATAAATACAAAAAATATGATTTGAAGCGAATCAGTAAGCACGTATTTAATGACAGAAATGTAAACGCAATACTTTTTAACGAGAAATAATTTGGAAGCGATTTAAAAAATTTCCAGAAAATTAGAATATGGGTGGCATTCAGAAATATAAGATACATGTGAATCTTGTGATACAAAACCTTCAATTTTTTTTATTTAAAAACTTGCTGCTATATAAACTTCTTTAAAAACTTATAAATAAGCATAATTGTGTATTGAATCTTTTTATTTCTATTCTGCAAATTTTATTAAATATTACAATATACTTATATATTATGCATTACTGACATGGTTTTGTAATGCAATCTTTCAATTCAAGTATTTCTGACATGTACAATGCTAAAAAATTTTTTATTCTTTTATGCAAATATTTTTTTTCCTTGAAACATAATGTATATAATATATTTAAAGCTTTTATAAAAATAATACAAAAATTAATTTTAAAAAAATCCTAATAAATTAAATAACATGAATATATAACTAAATATATAGACTATGAACATATGACTACATAGTTTATAATAAGTATTAAGGAATGTTATCATATAAAATATATCCGAAACCTATATTTATGTTGACACTGCTTGCATTTTATTATTTATAAATAAATTAAATTTTCTTGACTAAGTATATATTTTAATTCATTTTTGTAATTTTAACTCCGTGCCAATCAAATCATCTGATTCCTACAGCAGAATAATGTACTTATATAAATATTTTTTTTTTAAAAAATTTATCTTATACAAGAACAAAAACTGCTTTAATTTTCGGTTTACAATTATTTATATT